TCCGCCGGGGCTGCCCTCCCGCCACCCCGCTCCCCGCGCACGACCGCCCGTCTGTCTGCCGTCACTCGCCCGGAGTGGGCGACTCGTGCCCAGCCGCCGACACTTGCAGCTGTTCGCTTCCACCCTGACCCCTTCCCAGACAGACCCTGCTCCACCCCGGCCCCCCAGACGCAGGCCTCCATGCCGTCTCCGCAGGGCCCCCCCCGCCCCCCGCCCTCGCTCCACACGGTGCAGCTGAGGCGGCACAGGGCGCACGCACTCACCTCCGAAGTTGGCCAGCCGCCCGATCCTGGTCACTGGCACCTTCCGCTCCCGCGCCCGCTCGCTGAGCTAGGGGAGGAGAGAGGAGACGTCCGCGGGCAGCGGGGGGCCAGCCCGCCCCCGGCTCGAGGTCCGAGGCCGGCGCGGCGCCTGCAGCCGCTGAGCAAGCCCCGGGCCGGGCCGCAGCGCCGACAGCGCCCCAAAGGGCTCCGGCACGCCAGGCCCCACGCACCATCTGCTTGTGGGCCTTGCCGGCGGGCCGCGCCTTGGCTTGCCGGGCCTTCTCCACGTCCTCGGCCGTCAGGCCCCCCAGGGGAGACTGGTCCCGGTGGAAGGATCTTCTCTGAAAGCCGGTGACCAAGAAGGGGTCTCTGGGGTCCACGAAGAGCCTCCCGGTCGCCCTGCCCAGAGGCGGGGTGGCCTGGCCTGGGAGCCCCGCTTCCCGAAAGGGCCCTCCGGCGGCGCAGGCGGGAGCGGGGCCCTCGCCGACGCCGGGACCCCGCGGTGCGGACGGCGGCTGGTCGGAGCACCCGGTCGCAGACGAATCCTCGGAGGCTCGCGGGGCGCCCGGGCCGGAGAAGTGGGACGCGGCTTCCGGCCCCTCGAAGCTCTCCGCGTCCGGGGCCTCGGGCGGGGCCTGACCCTGCGGGAACGGAGCCGCCGTAGGAAGAGGAGAGGCCGCTGCCGGCTGCATGCGCTGCAGGAGACAGCAGCCGACCGGACGCTGCCCTGCCCGACCTCTGGCCCTGCGGGGGTGGCCAGAGGCGACCCGGCCGCTGCCGGGCGAGGTCAGCCCTGGGGAAGAGCCTTCCCCGCCGGGGCCAGGAGCCCAGATCCCAGTCGGGCCTCTGCGGGGAAGCAGCCAGGCCACGTGACCAGCACCTGGGCGCCCAGCAGAGCGCGCAGGTGACCGGCATCTGCAGGTTTCTCACCTGTAAATCAGGGCTAAGGCGCTGCCTGAGGGGCCGGGGAGTGTGAGCCAGGGCGAAAAGGGGGCGCGCTGAGAAGCACCGGCGGAGCCCAGCAGCAGGGCGGGCAGCCACGGGGTCTGCCGGCCACTGCGGGCCGCGGCCACACTGCCGAGGCGGCAGCCTGGACCTTCTTCACGGGGCTCTCGCCTGAGGGCTGGTCAGCACCAGGCCTGGCCTGGCCACCCTGGGAGAGGGGGTCAGCCAGGGAGGGGTACCCAGGCTTCCCTGGCACAGTCTCACAGCCTGGGGAGCAGCAGAGGTGGGGACAGGCCGGAAGTGGGGGGCGGACCCCGGGCCCGCGGGCCTGAGGGGGCGCCTCTGGGGGCCGGGCGGGGTGCCTGCTACGGCAAACCCCTCCGAGCGCCTCTCAGTTCCCGTAAAGCCTTTCCCTGGATGGCAAAATGCGCAGCTTTCGGAAATGCGGCACCAAACGCGAGCCAGCAGGAAGGCTGAGCGGCGGGCGGCTCGCGGGCCGGTCAGCTGTCCCCGGGAGGGAGCGGAGCCCCAGCGCCACCCAGGACCTCCGCAAAATGAAGGAGGCACAGGAGGCCTGGCCAGGCGCCGCCTCGCTGGGCAGGGGCGACCTGAGGCGAGACCGGGGGACGCGTCTCCCCGCCGCGCAGGTCCTTTCCCAACAGCCCGGCGGCAGCACTAAGGGCCAGGAACCGAGGCTTGGTCTTCACGGCCGCTGCTTGGCCACAGGCGGCAGAACAAGGCTCCTGCAGCTGCTCGCTGCCAGAGCTGCAAACCTGCTTTTTTCTCTGCCGTATCTTTAAGTTTCCAAGTTCAAGGAGGACAGGCCCAGGCCCTGAACGCGGGCCAGCGGCCAGCCGCCACGCTTCCTGCCGCAAGGGGAGCCCGCGCCCCACCGCCCGCCAGGGGCTCCCCATCCAGCCGAGCAGGGCCCTTACCTGCACCGCCCCCGGCACCGCGCCGATCTGCTCCGCGGCCCTGGACCGCAGGGCCCTGGCCTGCTCCCCGCCGAGGCCCAGGTGCTGCAGGTGGGTCTCCACGGCGGCCCGCGTCAGCTTGGCCAGGCCTCTGGCCACCATGACGGCGTCCCCCAACAAGGCTGCCATGCTTCGGGGCTGCAAGAGAGAGGCCGAGTCGGGGGACAGCGCTGCGCCCCACACGGGTGCTGGGGGGAGTCTGGCAGAAGGTGAGCATCTGCTTCCCCCCTCAGCCCCGCCCTCTGGCCCGGGCTCACTGAGAGGAGAGAGGGCTCAGGCCGGGTGGACTCCGGTGCCGCCCCCCGCTGCAGGGCACTGGGCAGCGTAAGGCCTCCGCGGGGGTGAGGGGCCGGGCCCGCCGGGCCGCAGGGCCCCCTAGGAACAGCCGGTCCAAATGTCCGGCCCCGTGTCCGGTGGCAGAGCCAGGGCGTGACTCGGGGTGCGCTCTTCTCCGAACCCAAACATGTTTAGGGAGCACGGGAGCGTCCACTCCCGAAGCAGTTCCCTACGGGGCCCAGGACCCACCCCAAAACCCTTGGGGTCGGGCGCGAAGGGCCGGTCACACTCGCCTTGCCCGCTGAGGACCCCGACGGACACCGCGGACTGAGGATGACCCCACGCCCCACCCCCGGCCTCGGCCCCACCGAGCCAGAGTCGCCAGGCGGTGGGGGAGCGGGAAGCGCCCTGGGCCACTGGCCTCCCCTGGGCAGGGCACACTGAGCCCCTCCATGCAGCGGGGCGTCCCTGACACCGCGGCGCCTCCCAGCACGCAGGACTGGCCTCGCGGGCTGCGTGCGGGGGGACAGGGGAGGACGAGGTGCGGAACACGGGGCTGGAGAGCAGCGCAGGCAGGAGGGGACCCAAGGACCACGGGGCGGGCACGCTGGCCAGCCAGGGTGTGCCAGCTTCACGCGGGCCGGGGCCGCCACAGGCCCCAGAGCAGAGACCCCGAGACCCTGAGACGAGAGCTGGGGCGCTTCCGGCCGCACACGCAAAGGGGGGCCCAGGCCCCCACGACGCTGAGGGCGGGGCCGGGGTGCAGACCCACGGGAGGGAGGCGGTGGAGGCCGGGGCGGGGCTGGCCGCGGCCGGCAGACAGGGATCCCCAACAGAACTAGGGGCCGGGAGCAGCCCCCCAGCCCAGGCGGCCCTGCGGAGTCAGCACTGCGCCCCAGCCGGGCACTGCTGCTTTTATTCAAAAGGAAAAGCGGGCGCCCCCTGGCTCACGGACGCAGCACTGCAGGCTGCCGGGCGCCTCAGCGCGAGTTCGATCCGCCTGTCCCTGTCCCGGAGTGACCACAGCAGACCCCGCGTCCCCCCGCGGCTCCCCTCAGCAGCGTGCCTCGTCAGTCGGCCTGTCCTGCCCCCCGCTCTGTCTCTGGGGAAGCCTCTCGCCGCCCCTGCACCTCTGGCCTGTGCCCCAGTTCTGTGTGCACCAATAAATAATTTTTAGCAAAATAAAGGGAAAACTCCAGGGGCTGCGGACACCGGAAGGCGAGGGGACCCGCCTCCCCGGGCCCTCACCTGCCGGCGCCAACTCTCCCTTTCATCCCTGGACGGGGCTCCCAGGCCGCGGAGAAGCCCCAGGGCCAGCGCCCCGCAGTGGGAGGCGGCTCCGCCCGGGCCCGGGGCCCGGCCCTCCCCTGCCCACACACCCGACTGCCCTACCCAAAGCCGCGGAAGGCGGCCATGCCCTTGAACGGGGCGGCCGGGGGCGCGCCGGCCCGGGGCTCTGCCGGGGCCGTTTACCCACCGGGCTTCCTTCGAGCCCCGCACTTCACGAGGGTGAGGCTGGGAGAGCCACGCCCGCAGAGCTCGGAGGTGCCTGGTGCCGGCTCTCAGCAACTCCCCAGCGCCCCACACCACCCCGGCAGACACAGATGCCGCAGTGACTTGCCCTCGAGCCCCGGGAGGGGCCCGCGGGACCCACTTGATGGGCAGCAGGGCAGGGGGAGCCTCTGAGAGATGTCAGCGGGTGCAACGGCCCAGCCACATCTGTTCAGAAGGACCCGTGCTGGGGCGCCCCCCTCCGGGGGGGCTGCAGAGGCAGGCCCCGCCCTCGCACCCCTAGTTCCCGGCCAGGCCACGAGGGCGGTGGTCTCAACTAAGCCACCGGCCCCCCACCGCAGGTGCCAGCTGGGGTCCAGCCCCCTCAGCTCTTCCTGAGACCTGTCGTCATTCCAGACCTGTCGCCAATTCCGCCTGAATGCCTCCTCCAGGGACTGCAGCGTGCACTGAAGCTCCTCTAGGGCCAGCGGCCTTCGGTCAGCCTGCCCTGCCCTGCCCCACTGGCCCCGCCACAGCGCCGGGGGGTCATTTCAGGTCCCCCAGGCTGCGGGCGCAGGTCTGGGATCCAGACTCAGCTGCCGGCTTCTAAATGCATCGCCACGGAGCTGGGCTCCGGGACAGGCCGGCTAATGGCTGAACGGTGACGCGTGGAAACCCATGAGGGGGCTGGCGGCGCAGCGGGTGAGACACGGCACTGCAGGCGGCCGCCGCCTCCTGCGAGTTCGACCCCCTCCCCGGAGTGGGTCGCAGCCGGGGACCCCCAGGGCCAGCAGACCTCTCCTGACCCGCCCGCTGCGGTGTGTTTCAGTCAAGCTGCCTGTTCTGCTCCCCGCTCTGTGTCTGGTGAAGCCGCTCACCGCCCCTGCATCCTGGCCGGTACCCCAGTTCTTATGTGCACAAATAAATCTTTCAAAAATAATAAATCCACGTAAAAGGCCACCGTGCCAGGCACAGTGGATGATGCCTCACCCTCTTGTCCGCCCAGGACCCACGCGAGGCGATTTTATTGCAGGGAGCGTTCTCTCACAGCGGATGCCCTCCTCACAGGAAGAACTCGCCCCCCTGGGAGCCACGGCCAGTGCCCTTCCCGACCGCGCAGGGCCACGAGCAGGCCGGGGCGTGGGACAGCACCCGGGGGCAAGGGCTGTGCCCGCCGGCCAGGCGAGCGCCCCCTCTCTGCAAAGTCTGCTTCTGGCAGGGGTCACCCTGCACCCCGCCGCGCCCCCCTGTCCACAGGCATCCGCTCGAATGCCCAACCGGCCTCACCCTCCTCTGCTTGTCCTTTCCCATCTGTCAACCCCAGCACAGGGGATAAGTCGGGACTCACCGCGCAGACTGGCCACAGAAGAGTCCTCGACTCCCCACAAGGAAAGGAGTCACCTCCGGAATGCCCACGCCTACTTGTACCAGGGGCTCCCTTCCCCTTTCCTCTTCTCCTGGGCCATCCTGCTGGAAAATCATCCAAGAACCCCACCCCCACCCCCAAGCCGGTCAAACTACATTTCCTTGGAAAAGGGTATGTGTGATCACAGGGATAATGCGACATTGCCTCGGGTGTCTAAGAGTACATCCTATGGGACGGCACCCTCCTGGCCATGTAAAGTGGCACCGAGAAAGTGTCCTGTATGTCCCCACAGGACAAGAAGGTGGGTCCTGAACCACTATCGTCCTTCCTTATGGAGGTGGGAAGGGAAGAAAAAAAGGAAAGAAGAGAGGGAGAGAGGAAGACAGACAACAGAAGGACAGAGAATATGCAAAATATGAACGGTGGTTTTTTTCTTGGTAGAGGATGGATTACTTTCACTTTCTTCATTTTCTAAAATTTTCTACAAAGAACATACTATCTGTATAGCAGAAAACAAAGCACATAAGTAGAAAGCATAAACAAGCCTACAAATGTGAGTTTTATAGACACTGTTCCGCAACCCCGGCGTGTTTGTGCAGGGCAGCGAGCGGGGGAGGGCTGGGCAGAAGGAGGGGGCTATAAATAAAGCCTCTGCACCCTTGTTTAGCCGCTGTCCCTCATCGGAAGACAACTGCCCCCAAGGGCGGCCAGGAAGGTGGAACACGGCCATCCACTGTGGGGAAGGAGGCTCAGCTGCCCTGCTCAGAGAGCAACGCCAAACCGCTTGGCAAAGCAGGAGCGGGCCCAGCGCTGGCCTCTGCTTTAAATGACAGCTGTGATGAGTGGGAACTTCCCAAAAAACCCACGATCCTAGCTTAGAATAGAAAATGAGCACACTTTCCTGCACCAGAGTTATGACATGACCATGACTGGTGTCCTTCCAGGTCGGGGTCAGCGAGCCACCACCGTGGGGCCAAGCCAGCCGCACCCCGTTTTGGGAAGTAAACCTCTACGGGAATATAGCCGAGCCGGTCACTGCTGCCCTGTCTGCAGGTCACATCTATTTTGTCGATGACTGTTTGGGGTGTTTAGTTGAAACAGCACAGTGCAGCAGCTGCAGGACCCTTTAGGGAAAGTTTGTCAACTTCTATTCTAGGAAACAGAATAAACTACAACAATTATTCAGGGTAATCTGGAAAGGTCCAAAGAGTTGTGTCACAGCCCTGACCAACTGGTGTTGGGGACCCCCTCCCCACTTACCGCCTGCCCCAGGCCTCAACAGACGGGCTCACCCCTCCGGACTCCCGGCTGCCCACCGCCGAAGCCGCCGGAGGCTCACGCTCGTAACATGCCACTGCCTTCCCCTCCTTCCCCTGAACCCACAAGGGCCTCAGACAGTCGCAGGAGAGCCCGGGCTGATGGGACATCAATGAGTCAGCCCCTCATTCCTGCCCACTCAGTGAGCCCCCACATTGCCGCCAGGTACACACCAGGTACTCACCGAGAGACGCAAGCAGACACAGCACACTGCCACCACCAGCTGAGGGGGCACAGAGAACCCCGACTGCGGGGGTGGGGGTGGGGGGAGCCGCTGGGGCTGGCCTGCAGGGG